TTGTTACAGCTTTTTCAGCATTGTGATCCTCTTTTATCACAGTACAGTAACAATCTTTCATAGACATTAATTTAAACTCAATAAATATAAACAACGTATTATTCATGCATTTGACTTATAGGTTTGTATAATAAGTTGCTCAAGCAAGTGGCAACAGCCTACGTTTAACAAGAAATGTAGGTTATATGCTATCACAAACATTTTAAATTAAAACTCACCACTGACAGAAACAGTCGACTCTCGTGCCTATTCTTTTGCATTTAAATCTTTACTACAAGCAATCCCGCGGGTCTTAAAGAACTTTGTTTTTCTACCTCCACAAGTGCATCTCTTATGTTGCCTTGTTTATCTAAAAGTGCACTTTTCCTTGTTTTAAACGTAGCCAAAAAGCCACGTGTTGACTGTGAAACCCAGTAGACTTTAATTATATCATTTTATTGTGAAATTACCTCATTTCCGTGTCAATCCATGTTCATTTTTATAGCGAACAATGTACTGTCACTTTAATTCAGCATCTGCAGCACAGCAAAAATAAACTCTGTGCGTAAACGATCGCTGCACTGCTGCAGACGCACCGTTCCTGGAACGCACTGACGGACCGCAACCGCGTGCAGTCTGAACGTTCTAAACCGTTAACATGAGTGCGGAAAAAAAAAACGCAACGCATACGCACTGCAGACGGAGTATGTGTGAAACAGCTATTAGACGTGGTGTTTTTTCCACCATTCGCACCAACCTTTGAAGAGTTCTCTCATCAATTTTTCTCTTTCCCTTACGTCCAGGGAGGTTCTTGACAGTTCCATGCTTGGCAAACTTCTTAATAACATAGCGCACTGTTGAAACAGGGATACCAAGGACTTTGGAGATGGCCTTATACCCTTTGGAGGTCTTGTGTTTGCTAATAATAGCACTTCTGATGTCTTCAGACAGCTCATTTGTCTTCACCATTATGACAAAGGAACAGGGAGTAACATGTGGCTTTTTAAAACACTGAAGTCATTATTCAGTGGCTAATTTATGTCACATGGGCACTGACAATTTATCACAGGTGATTTTCATTTGTGATATACCACAGGTGAATCAAAATGTATTTCCATACTGATTTATACTGTAGTAAAGGGTGCCACTACCAGTATCACAGCAAGCTTTTGAGGTTTTCTATTTTTTCTCCCAATTTAAAAAAAATAATTGTTTATCATTTGCTCTTTTGTATCAAACAAGTTCACTATAGAAAAAAAGCTGTTTCACTTGATTCATTTTTATTCCACATTATGTACTTTACTTATGTACCTTATGGGTGTCTATAATGGTGAGCAGGACTGTATATATACACATTATATATATATATATATATATATATATATATACACACATATGAGCAATATCACACTTGTAGCATTGTGATATCACTCTATATCAGCATGGCTAAATAAATAAGAAACAACTACGGAGTGTCTTAAAAACAGTAGCTGATTTTCCACTGTCAGGCCAGTGCGAGCCAGGGCTAACGAGCTGTGCTGGGCCAATAGCCGACCAGCGCTACTCAAAAACCCGCCATTAACACGCCTCTCTGACGCAAATGTCACACAACCCCACCATTTCACCAGCGAGGGGAAAAAAGAATGAAAACTAAGTATATCAACTAACTAAAGAATTCAGAACTGATATTTTTATATACCAATGATTTACAATACAAATAGTAATTTATTCATTTGTGTCAGCATGCTAAATCAAACTGATATTTATCATTATTTCATATAAAAATAGAACACATACTTGTTCAGTCGCAGCTGCTCCGTTTATTTGTGATGACAGGAATGCACAAAACGGCTCCATTATGCTTTTACGTCCAAATGCGTACACGTATAACAAAATAGAAAAATATTGATAAACCCTTGTGTTTATGTATGACATTTGCAGAAGTCCGGTATCAACAAAGACATGGGTAAGAGACAGAACAAATATGAAAACAAATAAATACATGATTATAATCATATATGATTTGTACAAGATCTTCAAGTGGTGTCTGGTATTTTCATAACCATAAAGTGTATTTATAATGGCGATGGATAGCATACGTAGTCTTTAGCATTGCATAAAATACATTTCTGTCTCATACGGTGATCAATTCCCATTGGGTCGCAATCGTAAGTTAATTCAGATATTTGCTGGTGTCTAAAAGTGAGTTTTGTCATTTAAATTGTTTTAAATTTCTTAAATTTTGATGTTAGCTGGTAGCTTGATATGAAAATGAACTGAACAGCGGTGAACCGCTTTTACTGTTTCCATGAGTTTTTGTTTTTCTCTTACACCACTCAAATATGAATCTCAGGATTTGTAAAAGCCAAAACAACAAACAAAAGATGCTACTGACTAAAAACATAACCACTACTTGACCTAGATGAAAAGAAAAGAATTAGAGTGGACTTCCCTGACTTCCTGGCTACAGCAATCACAAGCAATCCAAAACAAAAAAGTCAACTGCCTCTGCGGTGATAGAACCTGGTAATATTTACATTATTTACAATGAAATCAAAGGGCAACACTTTCAAACAAATGACCAAAAAAATAAAGAAAAAAAAAAACCGGATGGGGGCAAATCAAAAGACTGATGAGAAAAGAAATAAACACAGAAGAACTTGAAAAATAAAATCACTCAACACCAGATTATAGAAGTTTTTTTCTACTACACAGATTCATCTCAAACATGTCAACTCAACTCTCCAACGTTCTAGGAGTATTTCAAAGGACATCGGTCTTCAGGTGACAAATCGGCAGGTGTGTGTGTGTGTGTATGTTCTATTAGGGGGTCTTAAATCAAAGAAACTCATACCAGTCCCTCCAGAATTTCGCGGGACTTTTTTCTGATTTTTGCGGCCTAAATTGACTGATTTTGCTGCGGCTTTTCTCAAAATTTGCGGTGATATTTGCGGCATTTCTTATTGTTTTGCAGTGAAAATATACCACAGACAACATTCTTCTAACAATGTTATGACTTTTCTGACTTCGAGAACCATTGTAGGGCTCCAGACTAACATTAGAGGACACCAGCACCAGTGCCATTAAGTTCTACAGAAGGTGGCACCAGCACCTGACTGTAAAGCACTCACCCTAATCGCACATGTACATCTCGGAGATGTCTATTTGATGTCTGCATTTACATATGCAAAGATGTATTTTATCATCTGCAATACGTCTCTAAGACGTTTCCTGTCAGATGTTAAATAGACATTTATTAGAATGCATGTAAAACTGCTTCTAAGACGTTTATCAGATTACACAGCAGATGTTTCCCAGATCTTTAGCAGATGCCTTACAGATGTACTTGTGCTGTCTGGGGTAGTTGAGATGCAGATAAAATTAACTTTTACTGTCATTCATAATGTCTAAACATAATTTAATAAATACAAAAAATATGTATTAGGGAGTGGAAATGGCTATTAAGCCTATGCAGCCTTCCACTAGTGGTAATTTAAGTTTTTTATTTTTAAATAAATGTTTGCTTTCCTACATTATGAAACTTTTAGTTTTATAAATGGGGGCAACCTATGAAGGATGAACGAATAATGTCATCAGATTGAAAATAACTTTCAAATTTGGTAATACTTAAAGCTTTAAAGGGGTCATATGACGTTGCTAAAAAAGAACATTATTTTGTTTATTTGGTGTAATGAAATGTTTATGCGGTTTAAGGTTCAAAAAACACATTATTTTCCACATACTGTACAGTATTGTTTCTCCTCTATGCCCCGCCTTTCTGAAACGCATCAATTGTTACAAAGCTCATCGTTCTGAAAAGCGAGATGTGCTCCGATTGGTCAGCTATCCAGTGCGTTGTGATTGGCCGAATACCTCATGCGTGTGACGGAAATGTTACGCCCCTTACCATGCACACACACGAATATTTGGTTTGAACTGTTCTGGAACAGTGTTGTAAATACAACTTAACCGCTGATTTCTAGTTGTGTCCTCTTTTGGAAGACCAAACAAAGTAGTTTCGCTTTCACAACGAAGCACACAGCGCCTTCACAACATGGCGGCGGCGGCAACGTGAAGCATTTAAAAACACTCGAAAACATTAGACCATTTCTGCCACAAGTTGTTCCTGTAGCTTTACTGTTAAATCCATGGTGAATGGTGGTGATTTGTGTTTATTGAACAATGTTTTTCCTGGTTTCCACATCAGTGGCGTTTGTTCTGGTATCTGTAGCTTTAGCAGAATTCTGCACCGAATTTGAATGCTTCTCACAAAATTTCAGAGATGTTATTGATTCTGCAGCGAATTGGACTACTTTCTTCACTGTATCTCCCAGCGCTGTGTATAACGGTGTCGCGTGATCGAGATCAGCCCGCGGCTCCGGCCCGAGCAGATAAACGGTCTGCGCTGCGTAGCCCAAACGAGTATATATATTGCTGAAACTTTCGGTTTGTTTGTCCAATGTAGCTCTTGTAAATCGGTCATGATGAGAACACAAGGCTGTTCATTCCATTTTTGGAACTGAGAAACCTTTCTTTGACTGAATGCGCGTTGCGATGACGGCATGGGACCATGGGACTAAGCCCAAAATCTGCGGCAATTACGAAAATTCGCGAGCTCTTGCGAAAATTGTGGAGTTTGCTTGATTTTTTTTGTGATGAATTCAACAATTGCAGATTCGCAAAATCCTGGAGGGACTGATACATGTTTGGAACAACTTGAGAGTGAGTAAATGATGACTTTAATTTTTGGGTGAACTATCCCTTTAAGACAAGTAAATGGCTTTTCTTCAGTGAAGTGAAGAGACGTGTGTCTCTGCATTTAACCCATCCACAGTAGTTAACACACACCGTGAACACACACCCGGAGCAGTGGGCAGCCATATTGCTGCGGCACCCGGGGACCAGTTGGGGGTTCGGTGCCTTGCTCAACGGTCTCACCTCAGTCGAGGTATTGAATGTTGAAGAGATCGCTGGTTATTCACTCCCCCTACTGACAATTCCTGCCAGTACTGAGACTGGAACCTGCAACCTTCGGGTTACAAGTCAGACTCACTAACCATTAGGCCACGACTGCCCCAGTGTGAAGCCTCACGTGACAGTTAAGTTTTCTTTTGATCTGAAACTCTTTCCTCAGTGACGGCATGTGAAAGGCTTCTCTTCACTGTGAATTCTCACATGAATCTCAAGGTTTGCTTTGTCTGTTTTTCCAGTTTTCCACAGTGATGGCACAAATGAATTCTTTTTTTCCCGATGTGAGTTCTTACATGATTCTTACAGTGCTTCCTTTCTGTGAAACTCCTTCCACACTGATGACATAAATTCCTTCTATCGAGTGAAACCTTATATGGTTATTAAGGGATATTTTACGTCTGAAACTCTTTCCACACTGTTGGCAGGTCAAAGATTTCTCTCCACTGTGAATTCTCATGTGGCCTTTGAAGTTTCCTTGATGAGTAAAACTCTTTCCACACTGTTGGCAGGTGTATGGCTTCTCTCCAGTGTGAATTCTTATGTGGGCTTTAAGAGTTTGTTTACGTGTAAAACTCCTTCCACACTGAGGGCATGTGTAAGGCTTCTCTCCAGTGTGAATTCTCATGTGGTTTTCAAAGTCTGATTTTCGTATGAAACTATTTCCACACAGTTTGCAGGTGTAAGGCTTCTCTCCGGTATGAATCCTCATGTGCCTTTCAAGGGTTGCTTTTTTAACTAAACTTTTTCCACACAGTTTGCAGGTGTGAGGCTTTTCTCCAGTATGAACTCTCATGTGGACTTTAAGGGTTTCATTTTTAATGAAACTTTCTCCACATTGTTGGCAGGTGTAAGGCTTTTCTCCTGTGTGAATTCTCATATGGACTTCAAGGTTTCCTCTTACTGTGAAACTCTTTCCACATTGTTGGCAGGTGTATAGCTTCTCTCCTGTGTGAATTCTTATGTGGGCATTAAGAGTTTGTTTACGTGTAAAACCCCTTCCACATTGAGGGCATGTGTAAGGCTTCTCACCAGTGTGAACGCTCATGTGGTTTTTAAGGTCTCCTTTTCGAATGAAACTATTTCCACATTGTTGGCAGGTGTAAGGCCTTTCTCCAGTGTGAATCCTCATATGGACTTCAAGGCTTCTTTTTTCAGTGAAATTTTTTCCACAGTGTTGGCAGGTGAAATGACTTCTGGCTCCTGTTTTTTGAGCTCTTTTTCCTGTAGTCTTTTTAGTCTGTGAGGAACTAAACAAATTTTCTCCTGTTGTGAAATTATGATGTTCCTCATACTGAACTTTGTCTTCCATTTCATCTAGTTCTTGACTCTCCTTTTTCAGCGGCATCAGGTCTAAAGCAAAAAGAGACCAATACAAGTTTTTTAATGGCACAAAGCAAGACATCACACTTAGACATGTAAAGCATCAAAATCAACAAAATGTGTGCTAAACACTACCCACTAAGCTACTGAAAGACGTGTTGCCTGTAATCCTCTATAGTTAACTCTTCCTTTCTTTAGAAAATGTCCCAAATACTTTTCAAGCTGGCAGTTATCAAACCTCTTATGTGTAGGGTATCAGACCGAATCAGACAATTTAAGATTTGATCAAGAACATAGTTGAAACACGAGGAGCCAAATTCCACAGAGGCCCAAGACACAGGATGTTCGTAAATCAGATCCTGGCGCCACAAGCCTGAACCAACTAGCAGCTTTGAGTAGCTCACAGCATTTAAACAAAAGAACACTTATTGACAATTCCAAGGAGATTGTCAATTTTGGGGGCAAGTAATCAAGATTAATGGTCAAAAGAGATGGCACAGCGTGACAATCACATGTAAACCAGTGATAGTGATCACAAGCTCTTCGGATTTACTTTTCCCCCCACCTCGGAGACAAAGAACAGATTGAGATTCCTTACAGACCTCTTAATCTCTGGTCTTCACAGATCATGTCCACATACATTCACAGAATGGCACAGAAACTGCCTTTCCATGCACCTAAATGACACTAAAAGGACTTGAGAGCAACTAATCATTTCTATGCATAACTCCATATCATGTATGTAACCCACACATCAGACTATCAGGTCTTAATAATTTATTGTGTATGTATTTTGGGAGGAGAAACATCGCAACACCCCGAGCTAAGACAGTGCCTAATTTGGTCAAAACACCATTTGGGATGTGGCCAAAAGCCCAGTTTAAATACTCAGGACACCATCAAATCATCCCCTTTTAGCTTTACCCTTTTTTAGTCATCCTTTCTCTCTTTTTAGTCATAGCTTTGAGCTATGCTTCTCAGTCATCACTTTTTTGCGCTCTTTGAGCGTGCTCTGGCTTACACGCCAGCTCCTCCAAAACCATGAGGAGAAACGCCACCTAATCTCGTCAAACTTTACTTCTATTTCTTTACTTTAGTTTATTTTCTTTTCCGTTGAGAGTTTCGTGTTCTTCTGAGTTAAGTTTTGCCTAACGCCGCTTCTCCGAGTCTGACCTCGAGTGCCGTCAAAACTTTAACCAGACCACAGCTCCGCGTCGTCAGCCAACGCCCAACCACTGGCTTCCCAAGACTGAACTTCCAGCCAATCAGAACTGGTGCATTTAATATAAATTTTAACCTAATTGAGGAACTCAATGCGAGGGTTAATTAAGTGATTGATGGTTGTTCAGATCTATGTAATTGCACATATTGCTGTAAACTTGAGATTTCACATTTTCATTGTCTTAAACTAATTATTTCCTCACTTTCTGTCTTTCTGCAACTTGTGTGAATGCGTGTGTTTATGTGTTAGATTAGTTTATATGTCTTAGATTTATCCAATAAAGCCTTATTTATATTGAAAAGAGAAGTATCTTGTGTTTTGTGCTTACAAGTTAATGTCTTAAACTTCTTAAACTGTTACTGTGCTAATTAATAGTGTTTTCACTATATTTTGGATATTAATATCCATTGCAGAGTTTGCAGAGTTCGGCTCGTTCAATGAATCGCTGGCCGTCTCAGTGATCAGCCGTAAAACAGTGATTCTGTCCAAATTCCCTTTAAAATCTTAAATGATTCCCTTTGAGCTAAATTGACCTGTTTCCCTTACATATCATCTGGAAATGAGACCTCATGTGACTGACAGAGACAGGTTATACCTCCTAAGAGCCACGTCAAGTCCTGAGGTACGAAACTTCCTAGATCGACAGCCCAGTCAAACAAAGTCAAGCTACCAGCTACTTCGTGAGGTCCTGATTAAAGAGTTTACAGACCCTGAGTCTGAACATGGACTGTTAACTGCCTTGGAGATCAAACAAGGTCGACAAGAGGTTCCACAAGCTTACTACAACCGACTCCGTCAAGCCTACTTTGGTGCACACAACGAACCTGACCTTGAAGAGGATGTGAACTTCAAAAGCCTCTTTGTAAGAAATCTGCACCCTGGAGTCAGCCACCATCTTGGCGTCATGGCCTGTCCACGCTCCATGACCATCCAACAGTTGCGTGACCTAACACAGAAGGCCTACAACAAGCAGAAGATGGCCTCAAAGAAAGGTAACAAAACATCCACACTCTTGAACTCTGTAACCAAAGACTCAAGCCTTGCACTGGACGACACCCAGTGGCATCACGACACCAGAGTCTTCCATCAAGAGCACAGAGAACGTGACCCCCATGTCCACGACAGCTTTCAGCCCAGCCACTGGAAAAATCCATGGGAACAGCCACGCTTCTCAAGAAACCCAAAAGATAAGAACAACTGGAAACCTAACCAGACATCCAAAGGTAATCGCCTGACTCATCCAAGAGCAACTCGTGTGGGTAAGCGACAACAAAACCCACCTCAGCACCACTCAGACATGCACAGTGCTGAGTATGCAGAAGAGCAAGACCGCTTACCCTCAGACGACATGGAACAAGTCATGAGACAAATGAAAGAGTTCCTTCAAGGAAAGCTGAACATGGATGACCACAAAGTTGAGTCATGCTCGCTGTGACCAGCGACTGAACGGAAGGCCGGTGATCACCTGGTACACCACATCAGAGATGACAAGCACCTGTTCAACAACCACCCAGAACGAGCAAGTCTCTCACGGCCAACGGTTGATGAAAACTCTGAGGTACCAAAGAACATCACCTCAGTCACCCACCGCTCACTAACAAACTGTCAAGTTAACTCCAACTCCAAGAACCACATTCCTGTCTGTGTAGCAGCAACCACCCAAGCACAGAAGGTCAGAAAGTCTGCCACAACCAGAAGGCATCACAAGAGAAATGCAATGTAGGAGACAAAGTTTGCACCCCAGCTTCACACAGCCATGCCAAACTAGCTCCGACTGTCTGCTAAAGAACTTCCTGCCTTGCTGGACTGACCCCCATTAGATCATGGACATGCCCTCATCCAAGCCAAGGATGCAGAGAGCCAGTCTTCACTGACATACAAGAAAAGGGGGGAGACAACACAGACTGAAACAGATCTGACCACACATACACTACACCATTAACACACACAACATTACCTACACCCAGAGGTAACCACATCTACTGATAACACAGTCAACAAACATTTTCTTCCCACAAGTAGAATATCCAAATTTTAGCGTAACATAAAGTTACATATGCCCACCATGAAGAAACATGCAGCCATCCTCACAATAGGTAGAACACCTGACACTAAGTTAAGGTACATGACACACTAGCTGCACGTGACATCCTAGCTCAACAGTAGTTGTAAGCCATGCTAGGAAAATCCACAGCAGCTTTGTTTTGTTTTGTTTTGTTCTTCTTTTACCTATCCTGATTCCTTCCCCTCTTTCCTTAGTAGGTGAAACACCTAGACACCCTGCAAGGGTCAAAGGTCTGATATTAGGATTGACTCACCACACCTAATATCCGCCAGTAATTCTAAACTGAATGGAAGCCAGAGAGCTCCATGCACGATAGGTCAATTCATTTCATTGCAAATGATGTTACTAGAAAATTAACGGTAAACGTTTTAAATTAAGACAACCTAGAAGAACCAAACAAAGTTATCCGCAAAATTTGATTGACGAATCAACGTACGGAACCAAATTAGAACAATTTCCAGATTGAATTAAAACATATTCAATTTACTAAACTAGTTTGACTAATTGAACTTTACCACCTGTACCTAAATAACCTGATGCCTGCACCAGTACAGTAACAGTTATGGAGGTGTCTTGTTGTTTGCTGTGTTTGTCTGCTTCTTCTGCCTTTGTTTCTCCAGCGCTCGCCGATGTCTTCAACTCAACACATCTCCGATCGAAGGGGGGTATGTAGGATATCAGACCGAATCAGACAATCTAAGATTTGGTCAAACATGGCTGAAACCTGAGGAGCCCAGAATTCCACAAGAGGCCCAAGACACAGGATGTCGTAAATCAGATCCTGGCCCCAAGCCTGAACCAACTAGCAGCTTTGAGTAGCTCACAGCATTTAAACAGAAGAACACTTATTGACAATTCCAAGGAGATTGTCAATTTTGGGGCAAGTTATCAAGAATAATGGCCAAAAGAGATGCACAGCGTGACCGTCACATGGTAACCAGTGATGGCAATCACGAGCTCTTTGGATTGACTTCTCCCCCCACCTAAGACAAAGAACAGGCAGATTCCTTACAGACATTTTAACCTCTCTGGTCTTCACAGAACGTATCCTTATGTTCAGAGAATGGCACAGAAACTGCATTTCCATGTAAATATGCATCTAAATGACACTAAAAGGACCTGAGCAACTAATCATCTCCATGCATAACTCCATATCATGTATGTAACCTACATGTGACTTATCAGGTCTTAATCATTTATTGTGTATGTATTTTTTTAATAACTATTGAATAGCTTAATGGTTCGTATTCATATTTGGTATGTATGTGTTTGAATCTTCTTGCTGGAAACGTTTCTTCCAATCAACTATTTGTCAAAATTATCATATTCTTGTTATAGAAATCAGGTCCAATATTATACGCTGCAAGAGCGGGAAAAGCTCGGACCATGTGAATGATGAGATAACAGTTGATTTATGAATGGGGAGGAGGAATATACAACACCCCGAGCAACGATGACCTCTAATTGGTCAAAACACCATTTGGGGTGTGTTAAACAGCCTGGTTTAAATACTCAGAACACCATCAAACTTTGCTTTTTGTGTCTAGCTTTTAGCTTTTCGCTTTTAGTCATGCTTTTTAGTTAAATGCCTTTTGTCTCTCTCTCGCGCTCTTCCTTCTTGCCTTTTGAGCCTTGTTGTTTTTCTTTAAATCATGCTTCTTTAGTTTTGAGCGTGCTCTGGCTTACACGCCATCTCCTCCAAAACCATGAGGAGAAACGCCACCTAGTCTCGTCAAACTTTAC